GTCTAAATTTTAAACCACACCCGAGACGTTATTTTGAGATAATGCAGTAATTGACTTTAATAGCAATCTATAGTAAACGTGATACCCAACGTTGCGTTTTAGGCAACCCTAGAAAATTTGTAACCCCCAATAAATTCGCAAATGTAAGTATTTTTGAAGTTGCTGCGAGTGTAATGCGTCTATCATCGTTTGTACTCAGATCACGGCTTTGTTTGAAATAGAAAAATTCCAAGAAATTAAATTGAATAATGTAAGCTGAAAGCGTAGGGCCGGAATACATTTCTTCAAGGCTGATTTCGTTATATTCTCCTTCTAATCTTTCTGCCAATGAACTTATTTTAGAAATACAAATATCAACTTGTCTTTTTGCTATTATCTCGCACATAGAAATTTCCTCCGAAATTTCCTTTATCATAGCATCACGGACACTGTTTGCAAAGCTTAATGTTGAAAGTACCCCACGAAAATCTAATTTATTAATAGTGGGCTTTTGTTCCATATTAACGATGGCATTTATTGTCCTGTCTTTCGAATTTTTGTAAATAAAATTAGATGTTGTTTTGGCGTATTTTGTGGCTTTTGAATTAATTTTATCTAAATCTTTGCATAATTGCTCGTAATCTGTTTTATCCTCTTCGAGTTGTCGTTCGAACTTTTCGGACTCACATGATGCCATATATAAATTGAATTCTGCAACAATTCCAATATCTATAACAAGTGAACGAAGGTAATCTTGTGCTGGTACAAATATGGTCTTTAATATTTTTTTTGTTACTAAATTACCTAAAGATTCTCTAAGTTGATGGAGATCATTCGCGACATTGAAGGAAAGCTTTTTTTTGGTAGGTAAAAAATGAAGCAATTCTACATCACGTTTAATGCTTGGGCATAATTCTGCAATTTTATTCGTGACCATCTGCTTGCAATTTACTTGGTCTGAAATATTATCAAACTGATTTAACACAATAAATAAGTTGTTGCTTTCATCAAAAGTATTATTAGATTTAGATAACAAATCTTTGACCGACGACGAAATACGATTCTCAGAACTAGCTATAAACATAAAAGCATCTCTGATTTTAATAGTGTCATGAAGAAAATTGGAACAATCAATTAAAGCAATATCCACAAATTTGTCATGTAGAAGACTCTCTTGGATGTAACGGATGTTTTTACAGTAAACCTTTATGAGTTAAGATTAAAGTAATGAGTAATCTATCCAAATAACATATGAAGAGCCATAAACAAATATACCTTTATACAAGCAATCTCTCTGGTAGAATTACTGATAGTATTATATAGATCCGCTAACGGGATTATTGAATATGTTGCTGGATCTTTTCGATTATATTTTTCAATATCTTCAATAGCATGAACTTCTTCTTCACCAGAGTTATCCTTTACATTTAATATTTCACAGAAAAGAATCCTTTCCATTTGTAGCTCCATTGGCAATATTCTATGATGCATAAGAGCATTTATCAAGGATTTTTTCCTTGATTTTACATCTCCTATTACTAAAATTTTCAAGCATGGATCAGACACACGGGCAGCAAGAGTATCTAACCTTTTTATACTTTGGTTAATGCGTTTGTTTAATAAGAAAGAAATAGTACTCGGATCCATAGTACTCGGATCAAGTTCTACAATATCTTCAGCAGATGTCATATTTTTGTATCTAAGATAAATGTTTAAGGCATCATCTTGAGGCTCGTCCACTATGTTTTGACGTGCATTTAATCTTTCAAGAACTCGTTTACGAAAATTATTTGATAGCTGATCATAGATTGATGATTGACGATATTCATAATTATTTTTAAGACCAGTAAAAGGATATAAGATACCAAAACCTTCTTGACTTAACTCTCTAAATTGCATCAAGATGGATTTTGTACCTATCAAAAGCTTTAAAAGCTTGTCACTTTTATGTACAAGCGATCCTTTCTCTCCTTTTTCTGTCGACGATTCAAATAAATATTCATTTTTTTCAGAAGGTGCCAAAGGTGTCTCAGACACATTATCTCCTGCGGCAGCAGCCTCAGCAGTAGAAATAAATGATAAAGATATTTGCACAAGCTTAAAAGGATTTATTGAATATGACATCGTGAAAATATGCTAATAAAGATATTGGTAAGAAGCGCTTCCAGAAGTCCCAAGACGCCTCTGGGCTGTACTTGCAAATTGTCTTCCAACATGTATCCTACTTGTATCTTTGATTTTCATTTTGCATGGACTTGTTTTCAAAATACCGGTGTTTGCATTAGTTCCACTTTCCCTACGTGGCCTTATTTAGTTGGAATGAATACAATAGTGCATGTGAACTTCAAACAAGAAACTCTTCCGGGTAAGGACGAAGCCCCACAATTCTTAATTTGGTTTTATTGTTATGCTCATCAGATCATCAATTATAGGGTAAGGAAATGATCTAATAATAAACTAGCTTAGGCAAAGATAACATTCTTTTTGATTAATTGCCACATTATTAAATGTGATTGGCTAAAAGACTGTTACACTAGATTCATTCAGTGTGAACACTAATGGTAAATGCTGTAATGCGATGTAAAATCGCATTTTAATAATTTTTAATAACAGTTTTAGCAATATTTTGACCAGAATTTTAGCGCCAAGATCCTATTTCGATTTAATGATTTCACCAAATTTTGCTTTAAAGTTATACCATCGAAGAATTGGGATCCTATTCGGTATTATTCAGAAGTCTGTAACTAATTTAAACTCAAGGTCGAAACTAAGTTTGAGGCTAAGTCCAAAGTGACTTTCATATGATACGTATTATGTCAGCATTTTATCATTTTAAACCACAAAGTCGATAAATTTTATAATCATTTTCCAAGGGAAAACTTGTAAATCAGTTTTTTGATTTTACTTCGCCGGACTTAGCCCCGAAGTTTTACCCTTATTTAGGTCATTTACTATGAAAATCACTGTTTGGCACTTGCTTTCAAATAGCGACTTTCCTCATTTTGTTTGATTTCGTTTGTCGGGATATCGAATTAAACCCAAAAAACATTAAAAATCCAAATCCTCAGCCATATTA